CAGACCGCCGTCAAAAAGCTGGAATATTGCTGAGTGCGGAGATAAAACAACAAACCAAGCAATATTTACACTTACACCAATCAACCCCCACCGTGGGTAGACGTACATGTCAGTACTACTGTTGGTAGACGTACATGTCAGTGATACTGTGGGTAGACGTACATGTCAGTGACACTGTGGGTAGACGTATGTGTCAGTGACACTGTGGTTAGACGTACGTGTCAGTAACACCGTGGGTAGACGTACGTGTCAGTAACACTGTGGGTAGACGTACATGTCAGTGACACTGTGGGTAGACGTACATGTCAGTGACAGTGTGGGTAGACGTACATGTGAGTGACAGTGTGAGTAGACGTACATGTCAGTGACATTGTGGTTAGACGTACATGTCAGTGACACTGTGGGTAGACGTACATGTCAGTGACACTGTGGGTAGACGTACATGTCAGTGACACTGTAAGTAGACGTACATGTCAGTGACACTGTAGTTAGACGTACATGTCAGTACCACTGTGGGTAGACGTACGTGTCAGTAACAGTGTGGGTAGACGTACGTGTCAGTAACACTGTGGGTAGACGTACATGTCAGTGACACTGTGGGTAGACGTACGTGTCAGTGACACTGTGGGTAGACGTACATGTCAGTGACACTGTGGGTAGACGTACATGTCAGAGACACTGTGGGTAGACGTACATGTGAGTGACAGTGTGGGTAGACGTACATGTCAGTGACACTGTGGGTAGACGTACATGTCAGTGACACTGTGGGTAGACGTACATGTGAGTGACAGTGTGGGTAGACGTACATGTCAGTGACAGTGTGGGTAGACGTACATGTCAGTACCACTGTGGGTAGACGTACGTGTCAGTAACACTATGGGTAGACGTACGTGTCAGTAACACTGTGGGTAGACGTACATGTCAGTACCACTGTGGGTAGACGTACGTGTCAGTAACACTGTGGGTAGACGTACGTGTCAGTAACACTGTGGGTAGACGTACATGTCAGTGACACTGTGGGTAGACGTACGTGTCAGTAACACTGTGGGTAGACTTACATGTCAGTGACACTGTGGGTAGACGTACATGTCAGTGACACTGTGGGTATACGTACGTGTCAGTAACACTGTGGGTAGACGTACGTGTCAGTGACAGTGTGAGTAGACGTACATGTCAGTATCACTGTGGGTAGACGTACGTGTCAGTGACAGTGTGAGTAGACGTGCATGTCAGTACCACTGTGGGTAGACGTACGTGTCAGTAACACCGTGGGTATACGTACGTGTCAGTAACACTGTGGGTAGACGTACATGTCAGTGACACTGTGGGTAGACGTACATGTCAGTGACAGTGTGGGTAGACGTACATGTGAGTGACAGTGTGGGTGGACGTACATGTCAGTGACACTGTGGGTAGACGTACGTGTCAGTAACACTGTGGGTAGACTTACATGTCAGTGACACTGTGGGTAGACGTACATGTCAGTGACACTGTGGGTATACGTACGTGTCAGTAACACTGTGGGTAGACGTACGTGTCAGTGACAGTGTGAGTAGACGTACATGTCAGTATCACTGTGGGTAGACGTACGTGTCAGTGACAGTGTGAGTAGACGTGCATGTCAGTACCACTGTGGGTAGACGTACGTGTCAGTAACACCGTGGGTATACGTACGTGTCAGTAACACTGTGGGTAGACGTACATGTCAGTGACACTGTGGGTAGACGTACATGTCAGTGACAGTGTGGGTAGACGTACATGTGAGTGACAGTGTGGGTAGACGTACATGTCAGAGACAGTGTGGGTAGACGTACATGTCAGTGACACTGTGGGTAGACGTACATGTCAGTGACACTGTGGGTAGACGTACATGTCAGTGACAGTGTGGGTAGACGTACATGTCAGTGACAGTGTGGGTAGATGTACGTGTAAGTGTAAGAGTAGTCATGTGGTAGTTATACCACAGGTGTTCCTGTCTAAGATGTCATCTTGATATTATACCCCAGGTGTCTCTGGCTAAGATGTCATCATGATGTTATACCACAGGTGTCCCTGTCTTAGATGCCATCATGATGTTATACCACAGGTGTCCCTGTCTTAGATGCCATCTTGATGTTATACCACAGGCGTCCCTGTCTTAGATGCCATCTTGATGTTATACCACAGGTGTCCCTGTCTAAGATGTCATATTGACGTTATACCACGGGTGTCCCTGTCTAAGGTGTATTCATGATGTTATACCACAGGTGTCCCTGTCTAAGATGCCATCTTGATGTTATACCACAGGTGTCCCTGTCTAAGATGTCATCTTGATGTTATACCACGGGTGTCCCTGTCTAAGATGTCATCTTGATGTTATACCACAGGTGTCTCTGGCTAAGATGTCATCATGATGTTATACCACAGGTGTCCCTGTCTTAGATGCCATCATGATGTTATACCACAGGTGTCCCTGTCTTAGATGCCATCTTGATGTTATACCACAGGCGTCCCTGTCTTAGATGCCATCTTGATGTTATACCACAGGTGTCCCTGTCTAAGATGTCATATTGACGTTATACCACGGGTGTCCCTGTCTAAGGTGTATTCATGATGTTATACCACAGGTGTCCCTGTCTAAGATGCCATCTTGATGTTATACCACAGGTGTCCCTGTCTAAGATGTCATCTTGATGTTATACCACGGGTGTCCCTGTCTAAGATGTCATCTTGATGTTATACCACAGGTGTCCCTGTCTAAGATGTCATCTTGATGTTATACCACAGGCGTCCCTGTCTAAGATGTCATCATAATGTTATACCACAGGTGTCCCTGTCTAACATGTCATCATGATGTTATACCACAGGTGTTCGTGTCTACGATGTCAGCATGATGTTATACCACGGATGTACCTGTCTAAGGTCCCATCACACCGTCGCGCCTATAAAATATACAGCTTGTGAATACTCCCGAGATTTTTCTTGTATTGATGTCAGCGGGTTGCCAACGACGGATACTGTAAAATATTCAACACACCCTCCAACAGCTAGCCTCAAGAGTACCTGACTTTGACGTCAGGCGGCTTTTGCTTTCTTCGTCACAGAAGGGCAAAGAGGTCCTCATCGATCAGGTGATTTCATTCCAAACTGCAAAATACAACCAGTAACCAAGGCACATCCTCTGCACAGACATCATGGTGTTATTAGTTCTGAAGATTTATCTCATGATGGTGGAATATTTCCATGTGATATGTGGTAAGTAGTTCCTTGATGATTTTGATGATTAGTATAGTGGGATTTTATTATTTGCATTGACGAGTTTGCTTTTCTGTTTGTATTTTGTGTATAACGTTAAACAGTATATTCGACCGTGATTTTTATCATTGTGCCGTCACAATGCAATGTCTCTGTAGTTTTGTTATCGGGCGTGTATACTTGTGCGCGTGATCTAGTGTATCTATGACGGCTACATATATATTATTTTATCAAATACTATCGAATATGTCAATCATATAAAATTGATCTCTGACTGAGTATTCCTGAATAGCAGGGAGTTTGACAATCACCATGACATACTATCAATTATCATCATCCTTGTTGTACCGCATAAACATCTTGTTCTGGTTTTGTTTAACATGTGTATAAACAGTGACTCTGAAACATCGAATATCTAGTGGTGAACGGGATTTTGGTTGAGAACCATGCTTTTAGTCAGCGCTTTCAATTTTTATGAACCCACATAAGAGCTATCAAACTATGGACCATATACACACCTTACATAGTTTGCATGATGAAAACCCGTCACAATTTTAATGAATATTCATATCTCCTTGTCTTTTAGACGTAAAACGTTGTCGTTTTAATATTGGCTAAAACTGTGCACAATCGCCAGAGACTGAAGGGGTGGTGTAAATCCTGCTGGATCCATGTTGGGAGCAAATGTATTGTAAGTCCCCCAGCACGAGGATCTAGCTTCAGTGACTGGCGATCTATGGCTGATGTATAAATTGATCCGTCACGTTATGGCTGAAATATTGCCGATGTCACGCTGTCTTCACTCGCTCGCTCGCTCACTCACTCACTCACTCACTCACTCACTCACTCACTCACTCACTCACCCATCCATCCACCCACCCACCCACCCACTCACCCACTCACCCACTCACTCACTCACTCACTCACTCACTCACTCACTCACTCACTGGAACCAAACACAGTATCATGCCGATAGTTGATAATCGCAGATAATCGATCAAGATGGATTATTCTCAGACGTTGGCGTTTTATATTGTTAAACGTGAGGAAATACTATTCAATTTTACGCGTAATTTCTGGAACAGATAAATTATTCCACGAAAATCCCAAACACAACGCTGTAGCTTTGAAGATTATCATGGATATCTTTATAACCCCACTCCCAAAATTTCCAATGCAATAATAATTTAAATACAAACAAATATTTCCTTTGAAAATATACTTTTCTCTGCCAGTGTATAATAAAATAGTAGGGAAAAGCCGTTCGTGTACAGCTTACAATGTCTATAGTCTTTTCACATCACAATCACCTGACCCGTGAAGATCCGGGGTAGAATGGGTCTTCAGCAAGCATAGGCGACTATGCTTGTCGTAAGAGGCGACTAACGGGATCGGGTGGTCAAGCTCACTGACTTGGTTGATACATGTCATCGTATCCCAATTTCGTGGATCGATGCTCATGATGTCAATCACTGTATTGCCTGGTCCAGACTCGAATATTTACAGACCGCCGTCATAAAGCTTGAATATTTCTGAGTGCGGCGTTAAACAACAAACAAACAAATAAACAAACCAGTCACCTTCCTGCAACGGCCTTTGATTTTTTGCTGTACTCCAAAAATATAGTTCACTCATTGTAATTACACGAATTCTTGGTTTGCGGGGAAGGGGGTAGGTTGATGTGCATCATCACGGTTATCTTGTGTATAAATGTTCTCTGCGATCTGTCAGCTTGTGGCGGAACATGGACGACATTCCGAGGCTCCATGACGTCACCTGGGTACCCCAGTGTCTACTCCAGAGGCTCGACGTGCTGGTACCACGTGACGCCGCCCTCTACCGGACAGAAGATTCAGCTTAAGTACGACCATATGGCGATCTCCTACTATGATCGTTTGGAGGTAACTAGACGTGTGGTCTATTGTCATGGTTTTAGACTTGGTTTTATTTGTTCCATTTTAACGGGGTTGATCGGGATACTTTGTGATTGGGCCGGTTCCGATGGGTTAGAGTTGGTTGGGATAAAGTAGTGTCGGGTGGGGTTGTCTGTGATTGGGGTCGGTTGCAGTATATTAAGGTTGGTTGAGATAAGGTTGTGTGGGGTGGGGTTGTCTGTGATGGGGCCGGTAGCCGTAGGTTAGGGTTGGTTTGGTGAGTGAGTGAGTGAGTTGAGTTTAACGCCGCCTTTAACAATATTCAGGTTATATCACGGCGTGTCAGCTTGGTGTTAGAGGAAAGCCCGAAGCGATGCAGGTCTCAGACGTTTATGGTATTGACAAACCTAGAAACATAATCAGCGCGAACCGGGATTCGAACCCACAATGATAGGTTTCTGGCGTGCCCAAGGGGCGCAACTCTGCGCAGCTAATCGCTCCCTAGGGTTGGTTGGGATAACGTAGTGTGGGATGGGGTTGTCTGTGATGGGGTCGGTTCCGGTTGGTTAGGGTAAGTTGGAATAAGGTAGTGTGGGATGGCGTTGTCTGTTAGGGTTGGTTGGGATAAGGTTGTGTGGGGGTGGGGTTGTCTGTGATGGGGCTGGTAGCGGTATGTTAAAGTTGGTTGGGATCAGGTGTTGTGGGGTGGGGTTTTCTGTGATGGGATCGGTTGCGGTATGCTAGGATTGGTTGGGATTAGGTGTTGTGGGGTGGGGTTTTCTGTGATGGGATCGGTTGCGTTATGCTAGGGTTGGTTGGGATCATGTGTTGCGGGGTGGGGTTGTCTGTGATGGGGCTGGTTCCGATGGGTTAGGGTTGGTTGGGATAAGGTATTGTAGGTAAGAGATCGGACGCAGTTGGTCATATTCTACAAGGTAAATTTTTGCCGAGTGATATTTTACATACAGACATCTCTATTTGGATAAAAATATATCCGTGTCATGATTATGTATTGTCAACAAACCTAGTCGACGATGTGTTCACCTGCGAGCTTTGTGCCCTGTGTAACACGGTGCTTGCAATGAAACTTGCAATACTGTTTACGACGATGACTCTGTGTGGTCGCCGGACTGTTTCTGGTCGTCATTGATGACAGCTTTATATCAAAAGCAAGGGTGGCCAAGCTGTTTCTTCCCTTGGTTTGCCAGAAACACATGATTGTGGTTTCGAATCCCAGGCTTGAGCTGATTATATTTTTAAGTTTGACAGGACCAGAACTTGGTTGTCTTGATTGGCAAAATCAAAATACAAGGATTAAGGTTTCATCATATATCGATATCGTTCAATAATGGTCACATCTTTCCTCCCACATCGAGCTTGACACTCCGTGATATAACTAAAATACTGTTCAAAGCAGTTTCTCGTACTTTCAGGTGAAGAATTCCTCGCAAGACGTGGTGTCGCGACAGAGCGGAACTCGAGGCTACAGCGTTGTCCCTGCGTCGACCAGTTACGAGGCCAGCCTGACCAGGGGTAGCAAATATGTACACTATGGGTTCAAGGCGTCATGGGTCGGTGAGTGACGACACAGCTGTCTGAACCTTGGCCTCAGCTGCAATGGTATCACTCGTTGTGGGTTCGAATCGATTTATTCCTATAATAATACCCCCTCACCTTTTCGCGAACAGGGGCGGTCAGGTAGCCTAGTGGTTAAAGCGTTCGCTCGTCACGCCGAAGATCCGGGTTCGATTCCCGACATGGGTACAATGTGTGAAGCCCATTTCTGGTGTCCCCCGCCGTGATATTGCTGGAATATTGCTAAAAGCGGCGTAAAACCATTCTAACTCACTCACTTTCGAGAACACCTGGTATCGTCTCTATTTGATAGTGATTCATAAACACATACTTACGATCTGGTCGGGATCGTACAATGGCGTCAGAATACAGTACTGTAGAAGAACATGGAGAAGTTTATTTATTAAAGTGCCAAGCGTCGTGTATTCATTGCGATTTACAGACATGTAGGCATGGGATACAACAGCCGGCCGTATAGGCTTTTTGGGAAATACATACCTAAAAATCCAGCACAGTAAAAATGTTGAAATATGCACATGCCGCTGATGGGCAAAAAAAGATTAATACAAATTCTAATCAAACAATTTCAAAAAGAACATATTTCAGCTAAATTACTACACATAGTGGTCAATGAACAGCTGGGAGATCATATAGTCTCATTCGTGACCAACTCGTATTCTTCCGGGACCAGCCGAACAGCGACTCGTGCCCCCTCACTGTAACCAACTCGTATTATTCCGGGATCAGCCGAACAGCGACTCGTGCCCCCTCACTGTGACTAACTCGTATTATTCCGGGACCAGCCGAACAGCGACTCGTGCCCCCTCATTCGTGACCAACTCGTATTATTCCGGGATCAACCGAACAGCGACTCGTGCCCCCTCATTCGTGACCAACTCGTGTCATTCCGGGACCAGCCGAACAGTGACTCGTGCCCCCTCATTGTGACCAACTCGTATTATTCTGGGACCAGCCGAACAGCGACTCGTGCCCCCTCATTCGTGACCAACTCGTATTATTCCGGGACCAGCCGAACAGCGACTCGTGCCCCCTCATTCGTGACCAACTCGTATTATTCCGGGACCAGCCGAACAGCGACTCGTGCCCCCTCATTCGTGACCAACTCGTATCATTCCGGGACCAGCCGAACAGCGACTCGTGCCCCCTCACTGTGACCAACTCGTATTATTCCGGGACCAGCCGAACAGCGACTCGTACCCCCTCATTCGTGACCAACTCGTATTATTCCGGGACCAGCCGAACAGCGACTCGTGCCCCCTCATTCGTGACCAACTCGTATTATTCCGGGACCAGCCAAACAGCGACTCGTGCCCCCTCATTCGTGACCAACTCGTATCATTCCGGGACCAGCCGAACAGCGACTCGTGCCCCCTCATTCGTGACCAACTCGTATTATTCCGGGACCAGCCGAACAGCGACTCGTGCCCCCTCATTGTGACCAACTCGTATTATTCTGGGACCAGCCGAACAGCGACTCGTGCCCCCTCATTCGTGACCAACTCGTATCATTCCGGGACCAGCCGAACAGCGACTCGTGCCCCCTCATTCGTGACCAACTCGTATTATTCCGGGACCAGCCGAACAGCGACTCGCGCCCCCAATTGTGACCAACTCGTATTATTCCGGGACCAGCCGAACAGCGACTCGTGCCCCCTCATTCGTGACCAACTCGTATCATTCCGGGACCAGCCGAACAGCGACTCGTGCCCCCTCACTGTGACCAACTCGTATTATTCCGGGACCAGCCGAACAGCGACTCGTGCCCCCTCACTGTGACCAACTCGTATCATTCCGGGACCAGCCGAACAGCGACTCGTGCCCCCTCATTCGTGACCAACTCGTGTTATTCCGGGACAAGCCGAATAGCCATTCGTGTCCCTCTCGTGGCCATTTTTGCGACTGGGCACACGGGGCATAGCAAAATGAAATGTCAACTCGGTTCCCCATGTATCGTATATATTCCAGATGCTATGGAAAACACATCGAAACTTACAGTATTATACAGTAGGATTGAACACATAACTGTATCTTGGGTATATTTTTAAAGGCAAGACATATGTAAAATCAAACATTATTTCTGAGTGATTCTGTGACCGAAGTACTTAAAGGCCTTCGCGCATTCTGATTGGTTTGTCGTATTTTCGCACATAACATTCATCAATAGGGTACGAGTCCTCTTGCAGGTTACGGAAAGGTCCGAGTGGTGACGAATGATACGGTCTGTTTACTGGGTCGTGACGAGATACAAAAAAAGCTGCCTACAGGTACTTCCAGAATAATTATTATTCTTCTATTGTTTTTGCACAGAGTGTGGTGGGGACTGGACGAGCGACTCTGGAAGTTTTAGCTCACCTTACTACCCCGCCGACTATCACAAAAGGGCTCATTGCATCTACACGATCAACCCAAGCAGCGGCAGCGCCATCCTCCTGACTATCAACACCCTCAACTTAGCTGACAACGACGTCCTACAGGTAAATGTAGACACCCTCAACTTAGCTGACAACGACGTCCTACAGGTAAATGTAGACACCCTCAACTTAGCTGACAACGACGTCCTACAGGTAAATGTCGACACCCTCAACTTAGCTGACAACGACGTCCTACAGGTAAATGTAGACACCCTCAACTTAGCTGACAACGACGTCCTACAGGTAAATGTCGACACCCTCAACTTAGCTGACAACGACGTCCTACAGGTAAATGTCGACATCCTCAACTTAGCTGACAACGACGTCCTACAGGTAAATGTCGACACCCTCAACTTAGCTGACAACGACGTCCTGCAGGTAAATGTCAACACCCTCAACTTAGCTGACAACGACGTCCTACAGGTAAATGTAGACACCCTCAACTTAGCTGACAACGACGTCCTACAGGTAAATGTCGACACCTTCAACTTAGCTGACAACGACATCCTACAGGTAAATGTCAACACCCTCAACTTAGCTGACAACGACGTCCTACAGGTAAATGTCGACACCCTCAACTTAGCTGACAACGACGTCCTACAGGTAAATGTCGACACCCTCAACTTGGCTGACAACGACGTCCTACAGGTAAATGTAGACACCCTCAACTTAGCTGACAACGACGTCCTGCAGGTAAATGTCAACACCCTCAACTTAGCTGACAACGACGTCCTACAGGTAAATGTAGACACCCTCAACTTAGCTGACAACGACGTCCTACAGGTAAATGTCGACACCTTCAACTTAGCTGACAACGACATCCTACAGGTAAATGTCGACACCCTCAACTTAGCTGACAACGACGTCCTACAGGTAAATGTCGACACCCTCAACTTAGCTGACAACGACGTCCTACAGGTAAATGTCGACACCCTCAACTTAGCTGACAACGACGTCCTACAGGTAAATGTAGACACCCTCAACTTAGCTGACAACGACGTCCTACAGGTAAATGTAGACACCCTCAACTTAGCTGACAACGACGTCCTACAGGTAAATGTAGACACCCTCAACTTAGCTGACAACGACGTCCTACAGGTAAATGTCGACACCCTGAACTTAGCTGACAACGACGTCCTACAGGTAAATGTAGACACCCTCAACTTAGCTGACAACGACGTCCTGCAGGTAAATGTCAACACCCTCAACTTAGCTGACAACGACGTCCTACAGGTAAATGTAGACACCCTCAACTTAGCTGACAACGACGTCCTACAGGTAAATGTAGACACCTTCAACTTAGCTGACAACGACATCCTACAGGTAAATGTCGACACCCTCAACTTAGCTGACAACGACGTCCTACAGGTAAATGTCGACACCCTCAACTTAGCTGACAACGACGTCCTACAGGTAAATGTCGACACCCTCAACTTAGCTGACAACGACGTCCTACAGGTAAATGTCGACACCCTCAACTTGGCTGACAACGACGTCCTACAGGTAAATGTCGACACCCTCAACTTAGCTGACAACGACGTCCTACAGGTAAATGTAGACACCCTCAACTTAGCTGACAACGACGTCCTACAGGTAAATGTAGACACCCTCAACTTAGCTGACAACGACGTCCTACAGGTAAATGTCGACACCCTCAACTTAGCTGACAACGACGTCCTACAGGTAAATGTAGACACCCTCAACTTAGCTGACAACGACGTCCTACAGGTAAATGTCGACACCCACAAAGTGGCTGACAACGACGTCCTACAGGTAAATGTAGACACCCTCAACTTAGCTGACAACGGCGTCCTACAGGTAAATGTCGACACAATCAACTAAGCTGACAACGACATCCTACAGGTAAATGTCGACACCCTCAACTAAGCTGACAACGACGTCCTACAGGTAAATGTCGACACCCTCAACTTAGCTGACAACGACGTCCAACAGGTAAATGTCGACACACTCAATTTAGCCGACAACGACGTCCTACAGGTAAATGTCGACACCCTCAACTTAGCCGACGACATCCTACAGGTTAGTTTGTTTGTTGTTTAACGCCGCACTCAGCAATATTCCAGTATATGGCGGCGGTCTGTAAATAATCGAGTATGGAACAGACAATACAGTAAATGGCATCAGGGGCATCGATACGATACGACTGGGATACGATGACATGCACCAACCGAGTCAGCGAGCCTGACCACCTGATCCTGTTAGTCCCCACTTACGACAAGCATAGTCGCCTTTTACGACAAGCATGGGTTGCTGAAGACCTATTCTACCCCCGATCTTAACGGGTCTCCCACAGGTAAATGAATGGACTGATTTGATTCCTCTGCATATGTTTGTAATAGCATGTGTGCCAGCATATGCTTACCTTTCTGCCTTGCCTTGCCTTTGCATGTGTTTGTGACGGGTGCAACCGGTGGGGCAGGATACGCTCACCTTTTCGCGAACACCAACCTATTTGATAGTGATTCATTAACACATGCCCATGGTATCCTACCATAGAGATGTTGTGTTGCTTGTATTTGAAATAAAACATATTACTATGTCTCGAACCCAGCGTGATGTTTCTTTCGACCTTCCCCCAGTGACCCAAAGAGTCAGTGATTAAGGGGCAAACTGTGCCGCTGTTCAGAGTTTAATTACTTTTTTTCAGGTGACAGATGGTGCGGGAAACTCTCTGGCCAACCTGACAGCAAGTGCAGCGTTCTATCACTTCGGGCCCTCCTCCGCCTTCACGGCAGAATTCCAGGCGGATAATGGCGCCACCAGCACCGGGTTCCATGCAACATGGCAATGTAAGATCCATAGAGGATATGGGACGTTTATAGACAAACAAATACTTCTCTCATCGACATGATAAAGTTTATACCATCCCGAGTGGAGTTTGAGAATCAGATCACTTGAAATACACGATTTAACCGAGGAAAACTTTTGTGCCAATGGCAACTGACATTTATGATTACACAGAAACCACGAGTGTCATTGCGCCAGACTAAAAGTAGTTCCGGCAAAAGTGTAATTATAGTCGCGTGCAAATATATAATCTTTGTTAAGATTCCATGCCTAACTACATGATAATCATAGAAACCATTCTTGCATACCTGGACCTTGGTGGTAGTTAATAATTACATGCATCACTGTTGTCATGTTCCAGCCACGGCCCCTGTTGTCAACAACTATGACCTTGCTCTCCACACTACTGGCTGCGCAGTGGCCAGGACATTCTACGAAGTCTCCTCGGTTGGTCTGACGGGACACTCGGTTTCCATTCGGAAGACGTCGGCAAGCGCCGAGTGTCTGTACGCCTGTCTCCTGTCAACTGACTGCTCTCACTATTCCTCCACGGGGGATATCTGTACCCACCTCACACCAGGGAGCAACGGGCAACCTCTCCCGCCTACAGTTATGAAAAAGGTGTGAAGTGCATATGCCTATAATTTAATTTCGCACCACCCATACTTTCCTGAATGTGACCCGGTTGAAAATGCGTCCGAGTATCTAATGATGTCTACTCATGAATAAACAGGTTTGAATTGGAACAATGATATTTACTCTAAATTGGTGGCATTTTGAAGAAAGAAGTTATATTCGTCAAAAACAAAGTGGAAATTACTATTCACACCAGTCTGTATCCCAGGTTCGATTCCCTGCAGGGTACAATGTGTGGAGCTCATTTCTGGTGTCACCCGCCGTGATATTTCTGGAATATTGCTAAAAGCGTAACTCCATACTCACTCATTCACTCCCCTTCTCAACGGACTTTTAAACCAACATCAGCAGATGCAGGAAACGTCCACGTACAATAAACGTAGCTAAAGTTCTCGTCAATACCTGGTGTAAGCCACCCTGCACACGAACGTCTGACGCCAGATGCCTACTCATTCCATGAATCAGACGTTGCACTTGACGTTGCACTTGACGTTGCACTTGACGTTGAGGTATCCTAGTCCATTCCATCTATGGAAAGTAAAGTAGCTAGTTCACGTAGATTGTTGACTGGTGGGTATCTCTGTCGAGCCTTAAATGTCCAACATATGCTCTACTGGATTAAGATCTCGACTTCTTACAGACGAAGGAAGTGTTCGATGGCATTCTGACGTAAGCATTCCAGAACAGGACGCGATCTGTGAGGTCTAGCATTACCATCCATGAAAGTTTTGTGGCCACCGCATGGTGGACAAAAGGGGGGTAAGTGGTATCTCGGGGATGTCATGCTGATATGGAGGTCCGTTCAGATTACCCAACACAGTGATCAGGTCAGCTTACAATTGAATGAAACACACCTCCATGCCATTACCGACCCCCCACCGAACGGAAGGGTCTCGTGTGCAGTTATGGCTGTATTTGCCTGCCTCCAGACACCCGTACGGCTGTCTACCATGTGTAACAGAAACCGACTTTCATGAGAAAAATGGGCTCTCCGCCATGATGCAACATTCAGGTTTAGACGTTGATTAGACAACACCGAACGAACATTACAGTTGACAAGGCACGTTGGATTGGTCTTCTGGCTTTGTATCCATATGTTTTCTGACAATTTCTGTTAGTGCTGATTGAATCGCTCTGTCTGGTAGCCAATCTGCCTTTAAAATCGAACTGTTGTCAAATGGAAATCGTCGAACGAGCCTTGATAATGAAGCATCTTCTCTCCTAGATGTCTTGGATGTCTCATTTTCAAAACTTATCATTCCGTGTCATTTTGATTCGGTACTTTATTAATTTCCGGGTGTACATATATATTATATCAGAAGCAGGGATGTTAACAAATGATCCGTGAGAGTGAGTGAGTGAGTATGTTTTACGCCGCTTTTAGCAATATTCCAGCAATATCACGGCGGGGGACACCAGAAATGGGCTTCACACATTGTACCCATGTCGGGAATCGAACTCGGGTCTTCGGCGTGACGAGCGAACGCTTTAACCACTAGGCTACCCGACCGCCCCTGATCCGTGAGAAAGCAAATATCATGTTTTATTGTATTGTTTTCGTGACATCTCAACTAGCTGTGAGCAGATATTAACAATTGACTTCCTGCTGAAATCTAAATGCCTACATGGATTTATAACATCTATGAATATCCGACCAAAATGTATCTTAGAAAATATAGCTTATAAAGATATAGCTCGTTTGTACATGCAGTTCACGAAGTTGACCGTACTTTCTAACTTAGCTCCGCGAAACAACTTTTGGCTAAAGTGACCGTACTTTCAGACTTAGATCCGAGAAGCAGCTTTAGGCTGATGTGACTGTACTTTCAGACTTAGATCCGAGAAGGAGCTTTTGGCTAATGTGACCGTCCTTTCAGACTTAGATCCGAGAAGCAGCTTTTGGCTAAAGTGACCGTACTTTCAGACTTAGATCCGAGAAGCAGCTTTAGGCTGATGTGACTGTACTTTCAGACTTAGATCCGAGAAGCAGCTTTTGGCTAAAGTGACCGTACTTTCAGACTTAGATCCGAGAAGCAGCTTTAGGCTGATGTGACTGTACTTTCAGACTTAGATCCGAGAAGGAGCTTTTGGCTAATGTGACCGTACTTTCAGAATTAGATCCGAGAAGCAGCTTTTGGCTAAAGTGACCGTACTTTCAGACTTAGATCCAAGAAGCAGCTTTAGGCTGATGTGACTGTACTTTCAGACTTAGATCCGAGAAGCAGCTTTTGGCTAAAGTGACCGTACTTTCAGACTTAGATCCGAGAAGCAGCTTTAGGCTGATGTGACTGTACTTTCAGACTTAGATCCGAGAAGGAGCTTTTGGCTAATGTGACCGTCCTTTCAGACTTAGATCCGAGAAGCAGCTTTTGGCTAAAGTGACCGTACTTTCAGACTTAGATCCAAGAAGCAGTTTTAAGCTGATGTGACCGTACTTTCAGACTTAGATCCGAGAAGCAGTTTTAAGCTAATGATACCGTATTTTCAGACCTAGATCCGAGAAGCAGCTTTTGGCTGATGTGACCGTACTTTCAGACTTAGATCCGAGAAGCAGTTTAAGCTAATGTGACCGTACTTTCAGACTTTGCTCCGCGAAACAACTTTTGGCTGATGTGACCGTACTTTCAGACTTAGATCCGAGAAGCAGCTTTTGGCTGATGTGACCGTACTTTCAGACTTAGATCCGAGAAGCAGCTTTTGGCTGATGTGACCGTACTTTCAGACTTAGATCCGCTGAGCAGCTTTAGGCTGATGTGACCGTCCTTTCAGACTTAGATCCGCTTAGCAGCTTTAGGCTGATGTGACCGTACTTTCAGACCTAGATGTGTTGTATGTAATGACGTTTCGATGTAGACTCATACCGTTATCAAGCTAGAGTGACTACAACCAACTGAGGAGAGGTATATATGCATAATATGTTGAGATTAGCAGCAGATTAACATTAACGACTACAGGTAATGAATAACAAGTAACACAGATAATTGGATGAAGCCAGGTGTACAATACGAATAACAAATAGGACACGTACGGTTAATAGTGCCAGATGTACAGCAAGTAAAGGATAAATATAATTCAAAAGTTATGACAAGCTTGTTTGATACCAAATAAAACAAAGCTCTGATGCTCGATAAGATGAGCTGGATTAGCTTCTTTAATAATTCTAAATGTCAAAGATGAACAAAGAGCAACCTAATGTAAACAGCTGTATCATTTTAAAAACGTATAATTAAGATAAATAGGCGAGCTTTTATAGATTTGAGCGATTTGTTTTGTACCTTGACCTTTGTGGCACTGATGCTAATCTTATTCAGTCGTCACATATTCAATATATTCAATTGTATTTGCAAGTATATTATATCCCTTATGGTGGGAGTTTGCTCGGATCCCAACAGACATTGTGGTGTTTTAATTTAACAGTGCACATTCCATTTATAGGTTTTGTACTGCCCCTTACTCTGGACCATGCCGTAGGATGACAGCTCATGCTTCACATAGAAGTATATTTCAGTATGAAGGCCACAGGCCCAAGTACAGTACAGAAACATGTATTATATACAAAGTGGTGGTACAATATCAGGTACAGAGTGCAATAAAAGTACAAATTAGCATTATAATAACGAAGAACGTAAAGATATGGCATCTTTGATGTATTTAGCACATAATGACAAGGTTTCAGTGTAAGAAGTTTGTAGTAAAGTTCTGAGGGAGTACTCATGTTGTAAGTTATTGTTGGGAAAAAAGTATGTCTTAAAATATTATAAGTTGGGCATACTAACAAAAAATGTAACTCATCTTCTATATGATGTTTACAAAAAGGACAAAATCTATGGTTTCTAGGAACACACTCCCGTCTACCTTTATTTTTCATTATGTGTAATTCTCCAATTCTTAATAATGTTAAAAATCGCCTTTGGTCCCTTTGGTGTATATGAAGCAAATACGGCTCAATTGCGGAAGTTGACTTTATAGTGGAACAAAAATCTAAATTTGAATGCTCATTTAACTTTGAAAAAAGAGATTGAACACAACATTCTTTAACTCTTTGTTGAAATTCTAAAAGAAATAAATCAATATTACCGACACTTTGATCATTCCATACATAATTAAAACCATATGAATAAAGCAATTTCTTATCATTTGAGGCCCATGTACATCTTCCTTGCTCGTCCAGTCTTCTCAACATGTCATAACATTGCTTCGGATATCTAGTATCCGGCATACATACAAGTTTGCGCCAATATTTAAGGCATCTGGTAAATGCATCACAATATATATTACACCGACCACATTCACTTAAAACAGCCGCAGTAGTAGAAGATTTACCAACACCTAGAACATATGTACAATATATAATATGAAACTGTTCCAATGCCTCTCATTTCTGCCAACCCCATACCTCGGATGAATACAACAGAATAGGTTTTATTTCCGAATCAAACATTTTAAAGAGAACGGTGGGAGCAAGAGTTTTTAATTACGACTGCAACTGTTATTAATATGTGGTCGTACTGCTTTTGACCACGACAGCCTGTTTGAAAATATGATACCGAAGAAACTATTGTAGGTTGAGGTTTCCAGTGCAATATCATTGTACATTCATTTTTCAGTATTCTTGAGTATACCATCGTTGCGGAACACAAGGATTTCAGTTTTCTTGAGATTAACTATCAAGCCTCACTTTGAACAAAATTTCCATAATATATGTATTTTGTATGTAACAATGTCAGAAAACATACACAAATCATCTGCATACAGTAATAAAAGCAAACCTAAAAAGCCTGCAACATACTAAATAGAAGTAGATTCAGAACACAACCTTGACGAACAACACTTAAACAATCAAACTATTCGCAAATGCTAACATTTGATGTTTTACCAGCTGCTGTTGCCTTAGAATGCATATCACTATCATCATCATCATAAAGTATATAACCCGTTAATGATCATGTTCTAGCATTGAAATCGCCTGCTAGCATAATGTAAACATCACAGAACAGCGTCAGTAGTTTAAGAAGACATGACTCGACATAGTCAATACCTTTAATATCACGCGTGTCAGACTTAACTGAAGACAATCAAGTTTGGGCATAAGCAAATCCCAGCAAAATGTCTTTTTTTTCAAATCCGAAAAAGTTAGCGTCTAACCTAACATAAATGCTATCACTGAAGAAAAATTAACATATTTCACTCCCTGTTTAAACACATTTCTGATCAACAGTGCGACTCCGCCTCTATTGAGTAATCAGGAAAACCCTTTCTCAATGTTATCTTTTGAACAATTACTCCATATTTCAGTTAATCCAAAAATATCAAACGAATCACAAAATTAATTAAATTCTTTATTTGGAATTTTGTTACTTAGGCCGTTTACATTCCATGTCATGAGAGTTATGACATGACTGTCCTCACCACCTCCGACCCATCCTTATTCCTATCTGCGACTTGAGTAATTAGGTTGAACCACTGACTGTGAGACATTCTCATGCATTTCTCGTGCACCTCGAGATCCCTCAGAGGGTATATATGAGCGCGTTTTGGTGAGTTCAACTACAAAGTTGTTTTCAAGATCAAATGACAGGACCTCACCATTATCAAAAACATGTTTATCAAAACGCAAACGGCATCTCTCTCCCCCAGCGCTGGCTTTTTCCATTACTGACAAGTAGAGATTGCTGCAGAGCATCAATTGCTCCCTGCAATATAATGTTATGTGCAGAGGAAGGAAGTGTAAGCTATGGGAGGAGAGAATTTGTGTTAAGTACAAATTGGTTGTTATTAATGTACTTATCTTTGGAAAGCACAATAAAAGAAACAGTGTCTTTAATTGGTCAGCACAAAGAAAACCCAGGCAAAACTTGATATATACCCACTATTAGTACCAATAAAAAATATCCTATATAGATAAAACAACAAATATCATTCTAAAGCATGCTTTTGCAGCAAATATCAATATTTCTGGTCAAAATGTTTAAAATAGTAAACACAAAAAATGTAATGAATCCACTCTAAATATACTTCAGTTCAAATGTAAAAATTCACGCAATCATTAATGGATTCCCATTTATCTAGCAGCAAGTTAGGAACATACAGTTTGGTCATGTTATCTATAAATATTGAGAATTATCTTACATATTGTAAAAACAAAGGCCATAGGTCACTTTTTCTCAAAACTTCGTTTAAGTAATCACAAACTAAAAATTGAAACAATTGTAGATATACAAAAACACCAACCCCATTTGAACAACGTCTCTGTGAAACATGTGATGTCTCAGAAGATGAACAACATTACGCACTGTCTTACATAATACAACCAAGACAGAGAATCACAAATAATCCCCAATCATGATAAAGAATTTGGTACACTCTATTAAAAGGAGCAGATTCTTAATAAGTTTACCAACAGTTATCCAGAAACAACTTCCAAGATCTGTTAACATATCAACAATTAAAAACAAATTCCTTGTACATGTATGTACAACATTACCATAGTTTTGCTCAATTCTCATATTGTTTCCATATCATTATAATACACTTGTTTTTTAAATAAAATTCTTATAATGTACCTCCTTTGAATGTTAAAATGTTCCTGTGTTTTTTAATTGTCGTTAATTGTGCATGTATTTTGTAGTTTGTGATTGTGTAATATTGCCACTGTTTCTTCATGGAATGTTCCGCAATACATATCTCATCTAAAACATCTTTGTTGTATAATAGTTTCTTACAGTTGTTTACGGGGGCATGGTTGGCCCAGTCGCCGAAGGCGCTGCAATTCGCTATGCAGAGTTGTGTCCCTTTGACACGCCAGAAACCTATGACAGTGTGTTTGAATCTCGGTTCGCCCCGATTTTGTTGTCAGCACAAAACCCTTGCTCGTTGGTTTCACCAAAGTGGTGAACGTCTAAGACCTGCATCACTTCAGACTTTCCTCCCACATCAAGCTGACACGGAATACTATTCAAGACGGCGTTAAACCCAACTACCTCACTCACTCTTGTGTATGGTTCCGTTTGGTTAACTGGGTTTGTGTTGTGATTGCTTCCGGCTTAGATTTGAAATTTGTTTAAAAGAATGTTACTATGTTCAACCCAAACATCGTGAAGATATCATGCAACCGTATTATCCTTTTGGAAAATAATTGCAAACTACAGACCAACCTGTTGATTTCCTATGTATCCAGAAGCAAAGAACATATACAGGTGTATGATCTCTGCTGGAAGTTTTTTTTTTTTGTCAAAGCAATAAACCATGCAGAAACGTAAACCGCCGCATGAAACGGTATGTACCATACATTACATACAGTGAAGTATTTAAAACAATGCTGTGCTCAACTATGCACAGCAAGCGCCATACATGTGATTATGAAGACAACTAATAAAATATTTCTCATATCAAAGCCGTTGTTTTATAATTACATGTGTTGTTTATTGAACAAAGTCATATTTTATAGAAGCCTGTTATTTAATCGTGTTGAACAATATGTTGCAATGGCAGTGTGAAAATTGAGTGCGCGTGACAGGCTTGGCCTAAATTCCTTCCTGGAATGCTTCTCGATGGCTGCCTGAATAACATACGATACATTGCAAAGGTAGTGCGCAATTGAGCTGTTCGGGTAAGGGAGATAATCACTCACTCTCAGTGATACAGCTTGAATAAGATACGATGTACAGCAATGCAAGGTCAGTGCGTGATTTATCATTTCTATACTACGCCTATAGCTAAAGGAGATAATCGCCCAATACGCAATAGTTTATTCTTACAAAATATAGACCGGTTAACTTTAGCGAAATGGGATCATTTTAAGATCTTTTAAAAACAAAATGAACAAATGTCATGGGTTATCAGCATTACGAAAAGTGACTAAGTCTCAGAATAGCAAGACGATTTTGAAATATCTCTTATTGCTGGAAAAGATAAACATCAACATTTCACGCACATTTCACATGATTTGTATGTTTCGTTTCGGTAACTGTGTGGCTTGAAATTTATGAGAAACCAACATGTCGACTTACATGCTATAAATTTAACCTCTCCCGTATACTTCCCCGCCTTAAGGGCGGGGAAGAATAAGAGCCTTTCACGTTTATTCCTTACAGTTAAAGAAAAATCCTCCGACATACTAAGGCTACTACCTTTAAGGAGTTTACCGTTACGCAGAACAGGCTCCTTTGGTCCATCTCTAAATTTAACTATTATTGATTTGCCATTATTTGTGCGATAACATCTTTCAATATTCCTATCAGAATCGTCCATTTTCATAATGTCCTTTTTGATGTCACGAACACTGTTTTCACAGTCTTCCTAGATTTCTTTCTGTTCAGGTTTTGGAACTCCATAAAACAGTAAAATTGTTCCGACGTCTTTGGTTTTCAAGGGAGTCCACTTTACTCGTAAGGGATGTAAGGTCATTTCTCAAAGAACGATTTTCTTTTTCTGACAAGGTGCACTCTGACGTTAGATCAGTTACATGAGTATTTCAGGACTCAATAGACAGGGACATTGTCGTCAGCTTCGATGACAAGACAGCCTGATAACTGTCAACTTTTGAAGAAACACCTTTAATTTCAGCAAGCAATTTTCCAAATTCAGAATTTCCTTCCTCGGTTAAAGTCAGCTTCAAATGTTTTGATGCAGAAGTGTCACGCGTGTCTGGCCCCGGGTTGGATTCGACGTCTGAACGTCTGTATGGCTCTTGTAGGTGACACAGTTTGACATGTTGGGTTTTTTATATCGTGATTTGATATTTCTTCAGCTACAGCTACAAAACCAAATATTGTAGTTATTATCTGATGATTCAGTTATTACGTGATAGTGATGCAGTTATTATCTGATGATGCAGTTATTACGTGATAGTGATGTAGTTATTACCTGATAGTGATGCAGTTATTACCTGATAGTGATGCAGTTATTATCTGATGATGCAGTTATTACCTGATAGTGATGCAGTTATTACCTGATAGTGATGCAGTTATTACCTGATGATGCAGTTATTACCTGATAGCAATGTAGTTGTTACCTCATAATAATGTAGTTGTTATCTGATGATGCAGTTATTTCGTGATAGTGATGTAGTTGTTATCTGATGATGCAGTTATTACGTGATAGTGATGTAGTTGTTACCTGATAGTGATGTAGTTTTTACCTGATAATGATGTAGTGGTAATCCAGACTAACGCTAAAAATGTTTTTTTATTATAAAATTTCGAAAACACCTTAAGTTATGATTTACACGGCGGTTAATTGAAGTCACTTTTTTTCTAAACTATTAAAAATAATGGCTAAGTTTAGCTGAATGTTTTTCATGGATCAGAGTGTGTTTGCGTTTTGAAAATGAATCTGAGGTTTTCTGAGAAGGTGCGTCTGTTGTGAAGAATGCCTTCTCTGTGTCTTGCTGTGAGCGAATCGTCCGCTGGACGCCACTGAGCGTTTGGTCGAAGGGACAACGTCAGTCTCTAGAACAGGATGATGCAAAAAAACATTAGTTGGTGATAATTCGAATGAGATAATAACTAATAAGTCATTTACTACCTCGGAGCCTCGATACCCTTTATCGGTAGTGGAGTTAGGGCAGTAAAGTACGCAATACTTCAATAGTGTCAATGAGAGGAAATCTTTGACCTGGAAATAATCCTAATTAATACTTACCCAACCGAGACATCAACAATGACTATCAAATGAAAGTTAATTTCCTGATCGTTAACCTCAGTATTCATATTGTTTGATGGCCGTCTTGAAGCCCCTTTGTCAAAACATATGAGATGTACCAGGCTGCTCCATAACACTTTCAAAAACATAATCAATTACATGTGACTCGGTATTATAAGCATACATAGCATAGACAACGGACCCTATCATCTGTGATAAAGTTACATTTCAATTCTTGTAGTGTCAGGACGTGTGTGTTTCCCACCTGCTTTAATGGACCCTGCTGTTTCCTCAAAGCTTTTATCATGAAAATGATCATAGGAACCACAGGCATCAAGGCAATCATCCACCCAATCGCAGTAGCCTCAACAGGGTAGGTGTACTTCCCGTAGGTGGGAGAATCGTACTGGGCAATCGTCATGATGAACACAACCTGTGTGTTAAGGATTGAAAGCAGAACTATATAATATGATCGACGTTTCATATATTGTGTTCTGAATATTGTCACAAATTGGGGGAACTAAAGGCACCATCCTCAGTTAAATGGGAATAGAATCGGCTCTGTAGCCTGCACCAAAAAAAAACTTTTAATGAAAAGTCATTATGTTTCCCTGTTAATTAAATGCGGCGTAATCATTTTCGATTAGTGATGCCAGGTCATGCGACAAGGTGAACGTATCCCGCCCCACCGGTGGCATCCACCACACATACATGTATATGTTAAAACTACCCGCCTCACTGAACTTAAGAGTTTCCTACTGCATCAAAATTACCCCACAAAGCTAATTGAAGATAGCATACAGAAGGCGCTAGGTATTGATCAACTACAACTGAGAGAAAAATCTGAAGAAAACAATATGGGGAATAAGTAAACTCTAGTATCTACCTGCAGCCCTAATCATGACAAAACATTATCCATGGTTCAATCATACCTGCCTATTTTGAATCAAAGTATTAAGATGGAGAAGATACAAATGGAAGAGCAAATACAAAATTATCAACAGCCAAAGACAACCCAAAAATCGAAGAAAGATTTTGACAAGTTCTAAATTTGATTCTGTTGTCATCACTCCACAGGTTTCTAAGTGCGGTGACAAACGTTGCCTTACTTGCAGCAATATAATTGAAGGCTGTCCAGTCCAAATTACAAAGGACACCAAATTTACTGTAAAACAAAATATGACTTCTGACACTAGAAATGTTATTGACTTGATTGTTTGAAGTGGATGCAATGAAAAGTACATCGGAAAGACAGAAGTTAAATTAAAAAGAAGAATGAATCTTCACCGTTCACAAATAAAGCAGCCACACAACCGCACGATTCCACTCAGTGAACATTTAGAAACATGTGGAAGCGGCAACGTTTTAGTTTTCCCGCTATCAGGCAAATGTTTTACCATGAACCTACATTGTTTCATAAAGAGCAACATTCCATTCATAAATATGCGTAAAGGCGTAATCTATTTGTCCATTATCACCTTGGTACTGTGATGTCATAATTCTCCTAAATGTTATGACGTTATTGTTAATTAATACTATATATATAGTGACGAGCGAACGCTTTAACCACTAGGCTTCCCGACAGCCCCGGATCAAATCTGAAGTTTAGTTGTTCCAGAGCAATGTTACAAAGGCACCAACTCACCAAAATGGATGTTTCAGAAAAATATAGCGGGTTTGTTCCTCCTACTTATATTGAGTTGCAAAGCTGTTAGGGACATCACTGCTAGTAATGCCAATCACCATTTAATAAATGTTACATATGTATTGATAAAACAAAAAATATTTGGTTTAGATTGTTGTGTGTCCAAAACATTACATGGAAATATGCCGACGTTCCTTTACTTGCTCATTCATTCATTCATTCATGAATCTTTTAACATCACGCCAACACTTGCCCGGTTGAGTAATGATTCTCACTTACCACAAGTGTTGCCGGAGTGATGATGCTCCACAGGACTTTGACCAGCACAGGCAGAGGACGTCCACACATCATGTCAACATCCTCACTCAGCTGCTTGATACCTTCAGTGAACAATGTCATCATGAGACTGTAGGTATCATACAGTGATAGATTGGGCAGATTAAAGGATCAGACATATACGTTCCAAAAATAAGATTGTCCAGGAGGTGGGGTCACGAACTTAGGAAGCTGTGTTTCACTCTGAGTGTGAAAGTTTCTCATAACACCAGCTAGTGGTTTAAATGGCCCAGAGTCACCATCAAAAACATCATCTCAACGAATTGTTCCCATACTATGTGAACTAGCCCTCCCGATTATCCCGTTGGCAACATAGAGATATTTCAGGAATATTAGTTTCAATCTTATTTTACAATTCACGTAATTACACACAGGTAAATGTACAGAGTTACCGTAGAACCAGACAGCAGCCACACACTCCAGGGTACAGAATAGGAACATCGAGACAGCCACCAGGTACCAGTCCAGGAGTTGCATGATGTACGGACCACCCTGAAAGTATGGACAGGGATATCTTGTAAATATGTGTAACAACTATATATGTCAAAGTGACAATCATTTCTCCATAAGACTGTATGACAAGATGAATAACAACGTTCCGATTGTCAACTTTTCCTTTGTGTTGATGAATATTCCAGAAGCTCCAGTCTTTTAATGACAACTTTTCAAAACCTTTGAGGTCTTTCTACCAAGATCTAAAAGCTCGTCATACGCCAATCGGTCAAAATTTTCGTAATCAGGCATAAAACATTCAAGACCTTCAAGACTTCCTTAAAGCCTTCAAAAAGTCTTATGGTATAAGACAATTCCAAACTTGATGCACAAGTACAATGGACACTGTTTATGAAAATTGTTTTTTCGGTTTTAGAGTAACCGATTTGCTGGGACTGGCAACTGATTTCTTTTGATTATGGAAAGGTGTTTTTCCCTTTTGTGTATCACTGGAAACATTAACAGTGTTTCACTGCAAAAGGCATGACACGTATTAAGCATTTGTATACCTTACCTGTGTACATATGATGATACCAGGACAAAAGGCAAGGACACATAGAGCTGCTGTGACCAGACCTCGTCTATGTCTGAGTATCAGGGGAAACTGATCTATCACCGTCGTGGACAGGAGCTCAACAATCATGAACTGCAATTCAAAAAAACTGGATTTTAAATTAAGCCATCAGTCTTCGTAATCACGCTCAGTCCAGGAAGTTACAGACAGAACCCTCACGTATTCTATATATACGTTACTACAAGGAACAGGAGAATCAGCTTATGTTTCCTCGTATTTGCGTTTTGTTTACGATGCCATGGTTTTATAAATATATATTTTTTCTAATAATATATTGCCTCACCTGTGAGTCTAATCCTACAGTCAGTAACATCAGGAAAAATAGAAACGACCACATCTGTGGAAGCGGGAGTTGTGAGAGAGCTTCTGGGTAGGCAACGAATCCTAATCCTGGTCCTTTGCAAAGGAAATGTTCATACTCGTCAGTCACTGGTACATGTTTATCCACGTGAAATTGTTTAGTATGCTTAATTATTAGACCCTACAAGAAATTATGTACATTTCGAGTTAGAAAATGCAGATTGAGATTCATTTAAGAATCTCACCTGATGACACAACTTCAGATATTGAGACGCCCACTCTTTCAGCCATAACACCCAGGATGGCAAACGTGACAAATCCAGCGAATATGCTTGTGCCTTCTGAGACAGTGCATAAGATAATAGAGTCCCTGAATAGTAAGAGCAGATGCTTAGTTTTGGATGAATATGGTAACACATACATGTACACTGTAGCTGATGTGATATGGTTCTATGTATTATCAAAGAATGATGTACATGCCAATGGTAGAATATATGATAGCTACGCGACAAATTGCAAACAAACAATGAAGGACGATGCGTGGCTTATTAAAGCATTGTTTTATCATGACGTCATTTCTGGAGATTCTAACATATGCTCACAACTTGATGACGTCATATATTGGACGACGTTATGTTTGAGAGGTACACTACAACGCAAAAGTCTTTTATTTTATTTCGCAATATTTCCTCATAGTGTTTGTAAAACTTTTGCGTAGCTACGCGTGGACAAGTGTTTCCCAATAGATGTGGCTGGGCCACACAGATAAATGCAGTGGATAAACGACAGCATCCAAAAGTGGGAGAGATATGGCAATCAGTATTTGGAGAAAAGGTACCGATGATCGTGAGGATTATGAGAATATCCGGGAAATACCAAACTTAACCCATCTTCGTAAAATGGAATTGCAATTTCCGAGGTCAGATTCTATTCAGGGAGTCATCATCATTCAACTTTGGGTAAATATCTTCAAAGCCTGTACTTTTTATCGGCATCCTTGAAGAGGCTGGACGTGATGTTGATTTCTCATTTAAGCAATAAACGAGTCGTGGTCGTTGTTTATTGTTCAATAAAACACTGCAGGGACAATGAACCACTCGGGTGTACGCCCATCATGGTTTATTCTCCCTGCAGTGTTTTATTTATACGATAAACAACTCAAACTCCTCGTTCATTTCTTAATTTGTGAGTATCTTTGTTTTAACGTCATTGTTAACAGTGGCAACTCAGGCACTTTCTTCGATGTCAAGTTGGATAATGTATTTAATGCCTTCATGCACTGACACTTATAACATGTACTTATGTTATGAAGTAAACCCATGGGACGAGAATCATCACCTTAAAGTTGGTGCATTGAACTTGTTGTAGCTGGATGCTGTCATGATTACACCCCAGCCTGGACCAAGACTGTAAAACACCTGGATACAAGCTTCCGACCACACCTGTATAAATACATTACTCGCTTTGGAATATTTGGAGGTAATGTTGTATTTGATACATGTGTTATGAGAAAGTAGCTACAATATTAGTATACGTGGAAGTTGAAAAGTCTCAGGATGATACACTACTCGCATCACATTGTGTAAGACATGGAAGGACATTTCTAAACTGGACACAATTGCTTACCTGAAACAAAAAACCCGTGGAGATATGGTCCAAGTCAAAATAAGGAATTGCATTAGACATCATTTTTGTCACTGATTTGGATCTTTGGAAAAGGGTCTCCACATGTCTACCATGTAGCTTCACTTTATGTCTGCCACAAACCATTTTCAAACCTTTGATGAGGCCAATAAACAATTCATACCTGCCCCTTGAGGAGTTTGCTAAAATCAGGTTCAAGATAGTATAGAATCCCATCAACAGCGCCGGGCAGCATGGCGGCTCTAATGAAGATCGCCGTCAGGAGTATATAGGGTAGCAATGCGGTCACATATACAATCTGTAAACCACAAAGTGTAATTCCACATTTTGACACCATGATGAGAAAATTATGTGGAAAAATGGCCCAAGCAATTGTACAAATCAAACATACTATCAATATCGTTAACTCTACACTCTATAAACCATTGCGATAATGGTGAGTGTCGAAAATGAACATCCTGACGTTCTAATGGGACTTTGATATGAAAGCTGTGGGATCGGAGCAAATCATTTACACATAGGTACAGCATCCTCCCGAAATGTTGTGATGTGAAGTTTTAAGATGCGTTGTTTTGATAATGTGAAATGTCAAGGCAAGAGAATATCAAGTCTTGATTATCCACCGAAACTGATTCTTTTTGGCGTAAAGGGCACAATAGCTGTAAAAATTATATGAATGGACCACAAACAATCATTGATGACACCAGGTGTTGTCATGTGGAGATCGTGCAGTTTAATATTCCGCATTGAGAAAAAACATGTTGCCTTGTTATTGTTCCGTTTATATGACGACGGTCTGTATGTAGTCGAGTCCAGGCAAGATTATCCAGTGATTGATATCATGAGCATCGCTCCACGCAATTAGGATAACGTGACGTAAAATCAACCAGATCGTCCGATCCATTTAGTCAATTTTCATCATGTCGTTTAAGAAACAGTGTTCGAGGGAACATATTGTCCAACAATGTAATTCAGTCTTACCTTCCCACTAGCTTTGATTCCACGAAACAGACAGAGAAAAATACAGACATACGCCGCAAATAAACATCCAACTATATGCCACTGAACAAAGCCGATTTCGTGTATTCCACTTGATATATTCAGGACGTTGTACCTGAAAGAGAGTATTTTAGTTTCAGAATACAAAATGTCGGAATAAAGCGACAAAATCCTTTCCATATCAACAGAAATCTCTGCATAAAGCGGGCTCGATTTACGATTCCGACTATATCATGAGCATGTGTTTATGAATCACTATCAAACAGTGAACACAGACATCCATCACATGGTTGGTCGCAGATCGCCTACATGGAATGACATTTTGTGATTTGGGTGATCACGCACACATTCTACACAACACAACTCACTGGTAGAACTCCTCCACTGCTGTGTGAGATAACGTCTTGTTCCTCCACAGTTCAGCAATGCTGGGACCAGTACCATTGGTGCCTTCTACGTCCGTGATGTTCATGACGTTTGAAGAGTTCATTGAATGCGTTTTCAGAGTTGAGATGTCCTCAACACATAGCTCTGTGTTCCACCAGTTACCACAGGTTGTCCAGGGCAGAACACTGGAGCAGGAGTTCACCATGTAGTAGATAGGCCAGGCCAGAAGGATTTGATAATAGGGTTGACAGATTGCAACCTGGATGAGCGTTCCGACACCGATACCTACAAAAGCGAATAAGTACAATAGCCGCAAGAAAGTCTGCTAAAGGCGGAGTCGACTGTACGAATCTGACTGTATCATATGCATGTGTTTATGAATCACTTTCAAACTCTGATGTTACTAGGTGTTCTATTTGATAGTGTGGGCTCTAACTGTTTGTGACCCATCCTTCAGCAAAAGTCGTTTCATTCCTTTAACGACACAGAGCATAGCCTTGTTCTTACTTTTGGCAAAGGTTCTCGAAGGAGAGACAACAATGCAAATCTTCCAAAACAATGATTGATTTCGCCTCCGCCCCTTCTTGTGACCTTGGCTGCGTCTATGTGTTTAGGATGCCAGAAACAATACATTGACGTGGGCAGTTCTGTTTGCATTTTGTCATTCCATCCACATGACATTGATGTCCATAATAGTCGAATCCAGTTATTTCCTTTGGACATCCTAAACACGCTGGACATACAGAGACCGTCTCAGTTGTCTGGTGGATAGAGCCTCTACCGAGTGCAGAAGGTCGGTGGTTCGATCCCCGCTCGCATCATACCAAAAGATGCTAAAAGATGGTACTTGTTGTTTCCCTGTCTGGCGCTCGGCACTAAGGGATAAACAAGGATCGGATCGGCTCGGAATCAGAATACTGTGTCCGAGTGTGGTATCCATGTTACATTGACACACACGCACGCACGCACGCACGCACGCACGCACGCACGAACGCACGCACGAACGCACACACACGCACATTCGCATGCACGCGACAACGAGACATTCAACCCTATCTCATATCACCTCACATGTAAACACAAGAGTACAAACATTTAGAAATACGCAAATAATGATCAAATGCTAAAGACATAAACCTGGTTGTGCTGTAGACTTTACTGTATTCGTAATGAAAGCAGCGAACATACCTTTCAGGAGAGGGCAGAAATTCCACGTCTGTACAGCTCCTTTACCTGAGAACTGGGCCAGAGACGCCTCCAGGTAAAACAGAGGTAAGGCGGCGATAACGATGAATATCATGAAAGGAATCAAGAAAGCACCTGTACAGAAAAGTGATGTTTGTGAAAAATATAATAATTCGAGGATCAATAGTTTTGACAAGGGTATCAGCTTATATACCATAGTTGATGTTGGTGTTATTCATTTCAAGCATTTGGAAATAAATTATGTCTCCAATTTCCCAAAGACGCTTCTGATGTCAGTTATTTGTGAGTGAGATGTAAACTGAATTACCGTTGGTTAGCCACCGGTAATTGAGATCTGAACTGTTGGTTGGCCACTGATTAATGAGCGATAATTATCAAAGGAAGCTACTGACAATTCAACGCGATATGTTAATCTTGGCGTTATCCTGAACCTGGAAAGGTATTGTACTGTAGCGTTTTAGTAACATATAACCAGTCACTCGCTTTACCCATACGATGTCTCTAGATAAATGAGTGCGCACGTGTAACAGCGCCGGAAGTGCGTGTGTTGTGCGCTAGCAGACCACATGGCTGCCGACTGCACTTGACTGAGTGTATTTGCATTTAAAACACATCTGTGCCGTCATTCTATTGTTTGAACCCTCCATTATTTTTCAGGAATGGAGAGTTGCTTGTCAACTGTACATCATCTTGAAGCAGCATTTGAATTTTTCAAATATTTTCAACTACAGAATATTTTGTCAAAGTGTAAAAGTAGGAATGAGTTTTAAGAAGGGGAATATCCTCGTAACTCTCCATTCCTTAAAAATAATGGGCCTCGGTCCCTGCGGGGCCTCTGCTCCATTATTTTTAAGGAATGGAGAGTTACTCAGACATTCCCCTCTACGTAATGAGAGAATACACCCTTTCCCCGGAAAGCCGAGTGTTTGTTGTAGCTGCCAAAGTCATCACATGTACGTTGACATTTGTTTGATTCCTGTTATGGGTAAAGTGTGATAATAGAGGTCTGATGTATGCTGCTGTTGGTTGGTGAGTGTATCTTGCCCCACCGGTGGCACCCGTCACATACAAATGCACAAGTTAATTCTTCACAAGTAAATATACACGTGAACATATAGTACAAGTTAAAATAGGGAATTGCACTAGACTCTATTTTTGTCACTGGTACATCAAATTGGAAATGTCCTCCACATGTCTATCATAAAATGTTTTAAAGGTTTAACTGAGGCATTGAAAGTTGAACTTTTGAGCAACACTCGTATGACGCTCTTTGAAATCTTTGTAGAAAGTGCATGCTCGATTGTCCCTCAAAATTTGTGAAATGTTGACACCAATTAAAGGTCGGAGCTGCTGATATATTGCTCGACGCACGTGTGGGACCCCACGAAACAGTGAAGAGCCTTGTACCATGCATTGTAAAAAAGCATGTACATTGGAACAATATTGGAAAGAGAAACCACTCCAAACTGCAGATTCTTTGGGGCTTTTCACGAATCTACAGTCTTTCGTTGTTTCTTCATTACATATTTCAACAACATAGCTCATTGGTCGATCTTGAGTGAACGGGTTATGTTTAAGGACACCACGGCATGGCTTGTCAGCTTAATATGTGTGTGTGTGTGTGTGTGTGTGTGTGTGTGTGTGTGTGTGTGTGTGTGTGTGTGTGTGTGTGTGTGTGTGAGTGCGTGCGTGTGTGTGTGTGTGTGTGAAGTCTTTAAGTTGATATTAATGCTATTCAAAATATTACGTTATTTACAGAACGCTGTTTATACAAGGGCAAAAAAGAATCAGAATCCTTCACTGAAATGTCTTTTCGAGGTCTTTTTATGCCATATCTTTCAGCAATTGACAAAACCAGCAAGGTGCTGGAGCTAATATTGCAATCGGTTTGTCCCAGACTGCGGTTTTATTGTTTCCGGCATTCATGACGCCGATGTAATAAGGTTTCACTGTATAGATGACATTTAGCCTTACCTCCCCCATTTTTGTTGCAGAGGTAAGGGAATCTCCACAGATTACCAAACCCCACACAGTAGCCTGTCATAGACATGATGTAGTCCAACTGAGATGACCAGTGGTCTCGTTCTGGTCTCGCGTCGTCACCGGAAGTGTCATCCTTTTTCATCTCCACCAACCCTATCGTGATGTGCGATGGTGAAGCATCGTCGGGGCCATTCTCAGCGAACTCAGTGTCTGCCATCTTCTGCAAAAAGTTAACATTGTACAGAGTTCGAACCTCAAGACCACATTAAACAGAGTTCGTACCCGAAGACCACATTAAACAGAGTTCGTACCTCAAGACCACATTAAACAGAGTTCGAACCTCAAGACCACATTAAACAGAGTTCAAAATCTCAAGACCACACTATACAGAGTTCTAAACTTCAAGACCACATTATACAGAGTTCGAACCTAAAGGCCACATTATACAGAGTTCGAACCTCAAGACCACATTAAAGAGAGTTCGTACCCCAAGACCACATTATACAGAGTTCGAACCTCAAGACCATATATACAGAGTTCGAACCTCAAGACCACTTTAAACAGAGTTCAAAATCTCAAGACCAAACTATACAGAGGTCTAAACTTAAAGACCACATTATGCAGAGTTCTAAACTTCAAGACTACATTACACAGAGTTCGAACCTCAAGACCACATTATACAGAGTTCGAACCTCAAGACCACATTAAACAGAGTTCAAAATCTCAAGACCAAACTATACAGAGTTCGAACCCCAAGACCACATTAAACAGAGTTTACAAGTCCAGTTTCCACCTTGCCGAACTTGGCCGGAATTCCTTGGCTCGATCGTAGTGCCACCAGTGGTTATTACGAGTTACGTCCCTTCTATGCCTCTCCTATGGACCAATCAGATTTCACCTTTCATTTTCATTTTACTCCCAGTGGAGTCTGTTTCGGCAGTTAGTCGAGACTGATTATTCATGCAGTTTCCATCAGGACATACAAAGGAAGGAAACATGACGGTGCTTATCCATTTTTGATGTCATGACGTTCATGCCAGGAAGGTGGCAATGCTGGCTGTGAAAGAAGCTACATAGAAAAATAATACCACTAACTAACCAATATATGTGGCTTTGTAGGTTATTGTCCTTAATCTTCTTCTAAAAGCATTTTGTCCACACACCCATAAATTTAAAGCCTAATTTGGTTTTGAAATAATATATCCAGATAAATTACATAGGATAATTACATAATTGATTATTATGTAATAATACATGATCATTGGAGAACATAAGATGACTATCTTTCTGGCAAACACACATATTCCAATTATAATTGATAATTCATAGTCTTGCAGAACACAAGTTTCTGTGAGTAATGGAGGTTACATCAGTCATGCTAACAGATTTTAGTCCGACTTGTAGTGCGTAGTGAACTACTGAACTGTATAGGGTCCGTATTCACCAGTGAACTCCTTGTGTTTGGTATATATGACGTGAGTCAGTAGATCCCTTTGTTGGCACCCATATCGAACACACACACACACACACACACACACACACACACACACACACACACACACACACACACACACACACACACACGCACGCACGCACGCACACACACACACACACACACGCACACGCACACGCACACACACACGCACGCACACACACACACACACACACACACACCACTTGTTCTGTCACTCGTGGGTATTGTACGATGCTTCAATATTGGGCAAAATATCTGTGTACCCACATATACCATTGTTAACACTAGTTAGTAAATACCAAAGAATACTTGTTTAACATGGTTTTATTCCCTAAAAATTAAAAAGATATGTAACTTTAAAGTTATACTGATAGACTTAATTAAGCTTTATTTGTATTTTTCAGCCTTTTACACACTCTACCATCAACACTAAATCATGATTATCATGCCACTAACAGAATAAAAGTGATGTCGGTTATAGCTGGTGGTGCTTTGTTGGTTATGGAACAACTGGTCACAGTACAGTTAAAAGGACTCGTATATGTCCATTTTAAATATTTTTGATACTATGATTTCACCAATCCTATGTTATGGATCAGAGATCTGGGGAACCAGCTACTGTATCATTATTGAGAGTGTCCATAGCAGATTCTGCAAATCCTTTTTGAAAGTAAATAAGTTCACCAATAACAACATGATTCTAGGGGACTGTGGTAGGATCCCCCTACAGTATAACTACATGTCAAGAGCAGTCAAGTACTGGTGCAGACTAATTCAGATGGAACAACACAGGCTACCCATCCAAGCTTAATATATACTAAAATCTCTTGAGGATAATGGTAAAATTACATGGGCATCGCATATTAGGATGATTTTATTCCAGTTTGGATTTGGTTTTGTTTAGCTAAGCCAAGACATTGGTAATATTCAACATTTCATGACAGATTTTAACGAAGAGTTTACTACTGCCTCACTGAAAATTGTCACTTTTCCCTGACATCATCAACGAAATGCAATTACTACTCACAGTTCAAGTCATCACTAAATGTGGAATCATATATTACTTGTGATATGTCTTCTTACCAACGTAGACTTATAGCCATGTTCCGGTGTAATAATTTCAGACTTGCTTTTGAACTGGGGCGTCACAACAACATCCCATATAATGAACGTGTCTGCACTTTCTGTTTTTCGAAGGGACATAAACATGTTGAAGATGAATTCCATGTTCTTATGATTTGGGAGCAGTATTCTAGAGCAAGAAGAAACTCTTTTATCCCAAGCGTCTCGTTACCCCTCCCTCTATTGAGAATTTTATAAGACTTAAGTCAGCCGAAAACGATCAAATTATAAAAAGCTTAGGTAAATTTCTCTTCCAAGTCATGAATATTCGAACGGAAACATAGTGTTGAACGGTAAATCATTATTAAATCGACTCAGCATGCAAATATATATACAGTATATTTCCAATGTATTATGGGCCGGTGGCCTGAAGTACCGAATAAATTTGTCTGTTTGTCTATAAAAGGATTCGTGCTTCACTGTAGAGAGATAGAATGGCCACTAAAGATCAAGAAGATTATGCGGGATCTCCACAAGATGAAGAAGATCAAATCAAAAGAAAGAGAACTTTAACTCCTGAGGGAAAAGAACTGTTTAGTTTACAAAATAAAGACTATTGTGTTAAACTTGAGAGACTTGAGAATAAGCTAGTCCAGGTAAAGGATGACGTTAAGAAATGTTCTGATCTGAAACAATTTGGGATATGTAGAGAAAATTTGATCACATGCTATCATCAGTATAATCAAGTGGCATCAGATTATGTGCCTCTCTGTCAAGACCAGGAACAGTAGAATCTGATGTAGATTAGAACAGAACATTAAAAACAGAGAGCATGTGCAAAAGGTGTTCGATAAGAACACTGCTGAATTTGACAATTTAATTGTGAATTCGGTAGAAGAATATTCTATGTCTTAAAAGCACAACAGAAGCAGTAAAGCTGCGAGTGGCTGTCTGTAAAGATAGCAGAGAAGTGTGCATAATCGGAAGCTGCAAAGGTGGCTCTTGAATATGTGACTAAAGAAACTGAACTTCTCAAGAAACAAGCCTCAATCGAAGCAGACAGAACTTTAGTGGAACATCAGAGACTTAACACTGTATTGAAAGCTGAGGTAAAGGAACTTGAATAAGAGGATGGCTCTGCTGTGAAGTCAGTTGGAGTTCCTGTTGAGGACCCTAAGAAAAGAACCGGAAACTATGTCTCTCAGTTAAATGCACATAAGGATAAGAACCAAGGAAGCTATGAACCATCATTGCCTCCGCCCCGTCACCATGGGGTACAAGATCCAGATACATGTAGCTTTATCTATCAATGAACCAGTACTCCTATTAACCCTCGTGCCGCTCCATATATGCCCCCAAATGATATTTCTAGGATGTTCCCGAAGAAAGAACTATTGCTCCAGAGTCTGACCAAGTTCGATGATTCTCCAGAGTCATATACCGTGTGGAAAGTCTCTTTCAAAAAGGTGACAAACGAACTACAGCTAAGTGACACTGAGGAATTGGACCTGCTTCTAAAATAGCTCGGCAAGGAATCTCTGCAGAATGCAAAGAATATTAGGCAATCCAACCTTACAAACCCAAAGTTGTGTCTCTCGCTTACATGGGAAAGACTAGGTAAGGAGTTCGGAAGCCCTGAGAGTATCTTATTCTCTCTGGACAGAATTGATGCATTTCCAAGTATCACCTCCAGTGACTATAATAAACTATATGACCTCTATGATCTGCTTTCGGAAGTTGAGTGTATAAAACTTTATCCAAAGTATGCAACCCACCTGGCATACTTTGACTCACCTGTAGGAGTAAACCCAGTGGCTGCTAAATTACCTGTTGGTGTCCGGTATAAGTGGGAAGGCAGACCCTTTAAGTACAAGGCAACCCATCAAGTCACTTTTCCACCTTTTACAGAGTTAGTGAAGTTCATTCATGAAACAAGCAGACTAAAGAATGATCCTAGCTTTATACGGTTCAGCTCCTGTCAAACTCAAGCTGGGACACCAAAGAAGCAACCACATCATACCTCTCATGTCGGGGTCGGGAAAACTGATGTTATGAACAAGTGACCGTTACATAATATAGGACACAACTTGAACGAATGCATCTCATTCAAAGCAAAGCCGTACCAAGAAAGAATTGACTTAATGAAGAAGAAATAACTCTGTTTCAAATGCTGCCAGCCTAGGCATTTGGCAGTTTACTGCAATGCACCAGACCTGCAATGTGGAGGTTGTGGTGGTAAGTATATTACTGTGCTACACATGACAAATGAAGAATGGACACAACTGAATGGAAAGAAGGCAGCGTCTAAAGAAAGTCACGAAAATTAAGATGCTAAAGCAGGATCAGGCTCAAATGTGTCGTCAAAGTGCACCGAAGAATGTGACGGCGAACCCTTTAGTGGAAAATCATGTTGAAAAACCATCCTGGTGCTGGTTCATCAAGGAATCAATCCTAAGCAATCCATTAAGCTCTATGTTATTATTGATAATCAAAGCAACTCATGCTAAGTGTTCTTTGAACTTAAGAACATTGACAGCAAGAAGATTCCGTACTCTCTGTCTACATGTGATGGAATCATTTCTGGGTGAGGAGCGAGTGGGTTTCAAGTAGAATGACACATTGGGGATTGCACATTAAACCTCCCTACACTGATCGAATGTAACGACATTCCCAACTACAGAGAAGCTAAGAATAAGCATCTTGTTGACATTGATGATAGTCTACTTCCCTTAGATGACTTAGCAGAAATTTTGCTGCTCATCGGCAGAAATATGACTGAAGCCTTGGTCCAGCCATATGCCAAGAGACTTCCTACATGTGTTCTGGAACAAATCCTCACCAGCAGTGGCGGCCTATGGCCTCAGAAGAATCGCAGAAGCTGCTTCTGAAGAATTCGGCAGCAATGTGCAAAATTTCATCCACAAGAACTTTTAAGTTGATGACAGACTGACCTCACTCCCAACAGAGAGGATGAAGGGATAGATCTACAGAGGAGAACACAGGATGCTTAAAGCTTTGAAGACTCACGGAAGCATGCGATTTCACAAGGTTGCATCTATCCAACAGTGTCAAAGAGGTTGGAACGAACATTACAGAACTTACAGAACATTGATATCAAAGATCTTGGCGTCTCCTGGAATATTGACACGAACATGTTCCTGCTCCAAGTCCCCGATGATGAAAAACCATTCACAAAGCGTGGAGTCCTGTCCACAATTGCCTCCATATATGATCCCTTGGGATTCTTGGCTCCTGTCTCCAGGGAAGATTGATTATGAGAGAACTTCTGACAGCTAATATCGGATGGGACAATCAAATACCATCTGATTTTCACAAAGAATGGGAAAACTTGAGAGGCTCTTTGAAACAGTTGGAGACAGTCCGTATACCCAGGACATTTGTACCGTCTTCTTTCAAGGAAGCCACTGATAAGAAACTACTTCTCTATTGGGACACCTCTGAAAAGGCCCTAGCTGCTATAGCCTATTTGAAAGTAAACCAATGCAGATGGAGACGCACATATAGGCTTTGTAATGAGCAAAGTGAAAATTGCACCAATTCATGGCCACACAATCCCTGGCCTTGATTTGTGTTCTGCTTTTTCAAGTATAAAAAAAGAACTTCCTTGATTGAGGATTATTGTTTATCTTGAGACATTGATTTTTCTTAGTGCGGATTTTTATGGAGCTTTGGAATCCACTGCAAAAGAGGAGTTGAATGTTGGGTTTGAGAGTCAAGTTATATGTTTGGAGCAGATTTCTTCCTCAGTTATCCTATTGGCCTCCTATGTGGCTTTGTTTGATATATCGAATACATTTGAACAAATAATTAATGCAGTGATACTTTTATATAATGGTTATCTTATAACTATAAACCTAACACGTCCCACTTTAGTTCTGGAAACCCATTTGTCCAGAAACCCTCAATGCTGTGGCCAGTCTTGGTCAAAGGTATTTCCAGAAATCAACATGTTGTTTCATGGGTACATACAAAGGGAAAAAAAGAAAAACATTGTTTCGAGAACTCAAAATTTAAACTATGTGGCCCATGGGTGAGAATATTTTCCTTTACACAAAACTCATGTTTTGTTTGGAAGTATATAAAGGTGGTTCGACAAGTATCATGACACATCATTCAACTTATTTTAACTTATCCAACCCAATTTGTGGCGATATTAAAATATTAATATTATTTATTAAAAAGTGTGGATTTCTTATAAATATGGAAACAGTTTTGTCGCTTTAGTATACTTGATATGTACTGTGAAGTTAGCAGGTCAAGAAAACGTGAAACAAGTTTTGAATACTTTTGACAAGGAAGGTTGTCAGAACATTTACGAAAACAACAGAAAACATTGTCTTTCATCACTTACGTTGAGTGAGTCATGCATTCGTGTCAGCATGTTTTAGTACTCTGGATGCGTCATGGGACTTCAGTCATGTTAACGAACCAAGCCATATTGCCACTGTATCACAACGTCTTCAGTCATCGAATCTGGATGGAACAGAGTAGTTAATAGAACTGGTTCTGTATATTATGTTGAGTGAATAAAACTCATCGGTTCAGACATTGTAAGCTCTGATGTAGTAGACACTTTTGACAAACCTGGTTCATGGTCTCCATGGTGATTCCGGGATCGAATTGGTCCAAAGGATACTTTGATTTTCATAAGAATCGACATGGATCAAAACCTGTAGTTCATCAGGGCTCATGTTTAAAATTAATGGTCTTTTTGGTCCAGACTTGAACATTGAAAGACTGCCATGACCGTCACCTGAGAAAGGTGGTCCGACCGATTGATTGACTCGTCCGTGACGCCTTCGGAACATAGACAGTCAGTAGTTGTACCTTTCGTCAGTGGGACTTCCAAGCATATATTTATATTTTCAGATGTACGTATTTTATGGTTCATTCTTTCTTTCGGGTGGTCTCCCTTTTCCAAGGAAGGATATTGATGTTTGGGCATTGATCCACGAAGAGTCGCCCATGAACAAAGATTGACTGTTTTCCTTCAGGAGCGCTATGGAGCTGTTCAACTACACATCGACTTTCAAGAGGGTATCTGACTACCCACTCACCACCCACTGGCTGACAAACAAGGAGACACTGATCAGTAAAGAATATTTAGTCCCCACAGACAGAACGAACTTGATGAGAACATATGGTGGCCTGGCTCCAATTATATTTGTCCACAGCAACTGCCACACGCCAACCAGCAGGGAGCAGTACGTCCAAACGTTGCAGAAATACGTTGAAATATGGGTGAAAGAAAAGTCGGTGCCTATTACTAGTATTTAGCTGGCTTCCAATTGCCTATTGCCTTTGATCGCTGAAAAAAAGTTATCTTCTCGAGGAATAGATGAATGAAAACGTTTTGCAGTGAGCTACTTAACGGATTGGTTATATCAGGCTAACAGAATAGCTACTCATCCATGTACAGGTCGAGAGTTCGAGAGAGAAGAAAGTTTGTTGCTGAACCAATGTTATCATGGTGATATTTTGCAAGTGCAATTCAAGAATCATGGTTTACACGTTTGATGCACATGCGCCAAAATGTTTATGTAACCTTCGATGATACATCCAGACACCATAATACAGTAACTTAAAATATGATTTGTAACTGTGAACCTCCACTTTGAGCTGTTTCTATTATCTGAATAGCTTAATGAGAAAAACTAAATAATAAAGATAAACTTAGGAATAAAGAATCGCTCACGTAGATATTAAAATTCTATGGCCATATTATAAATGTGTATTGTGGCACTAATGACGCGAAAGGACTTTAACTGTAGATGAATTAAATACACTTGTAGTCGACTAGAATCTTAGCACTCAGCCTCAGATAGAATAGCAATTATTATACATCTTTTTTTTCTGATTGTAGTTTGTTCTTTTCAAATACATATGGAGCAGAAGGTCATGCAGACAAAGGGGAGGGGTGATTGCTGCGCTCGAAGTGGCTCAAGGTGCAGAAAAACACATGTGTAACACGAAGTGGCCTCATCAATATAAAGCATGGGTAAGGGAAACTAGTGATATGCAGCACACACAGCTACTCACACACATACAGGCTGACATGGGCTAGGGGTGCTAGTGATATGCAGCACACACAGGTACTCACACACATACAGGCTGACATGGGTTAGGGGTGCTAGTGATATGCAGCACACACAGCTACTCACACACATACAGGCTGACATGGGTTAGTGGTGCTAGTGATATGCAGCACACACAGCTACTCACACACATACAGGCTGACATGGGCTAGGGGTGCTAGTGATATGCAGCACACACAGGTACTCACACACATACAGGCTGACATGGGTTAGGGGTGCTAGTGATATGCAGCACACACAGCTACTCACACACATACAGCCTGACATGGGTTAGGGGTGCTAATGATATGCAGCACACACAGCTACTCACACACATACAGCCTGACATGGGTTAGGGGTGCTAGTGATATGCAGCACACACAGCTACTCACACACATACAGCCTGACATGGGTTAGGGGTGCTAGTGATATGCAGCACACACAGCTACTCACACACATACAGCCTGACATTGGTTAGGGGTGCTAGTGATATGCAGCACACACAGCTACTCACACACATACAGCCTGACATGGGTTAGGTGTGCTAGTGATATGCAGCACACACAGCTACTCACACACATACAGGCTGACATGGGTTAGGGGTGCTAGTGATATGCAGCACACACAGCTACTTACACACATACAGGCCGACATGGGTTAAGGGTGCTAGTGATATGCAGCACACAGATCACAGATACATGCTGACCACCTGCAAACGTCTTTTGTGAATGTTTGAAGGTCTTCATTGATTCAATTTAACTAGGAGTTACCGGTCGTTGTATGTTGATCACATTATCTTCTTTACTCCCGTTACATCAATCTTTAACTGATGTGCGTGTGGGTACACAGTTGCAGTTGTTAAGGCATCACAAATGTTATGTACAGTATTCAAATATCAAGTGGTGTGCAAGTCCATGCGCAGCTACATGTATCACACCAGGGCCTTTAATCTTCCCGAGGCAAGTGAGTTAACTGACTTTAAAAGCCCAGTTTCCACCCTTGTCGAACCTGGCTGGAATTCCTGGGCTCGATCTTAGCGCCACCAGTGGTTTTTACGTGTTATGTCCCTTCTAAGCCTCTCCTATGGACAAATCAGATTACACCTCTCGTATCACTTGCATCTGTTTCAAACAAAATGGCGGCGCCCAGTCAAGACGATCTGATCGATAATCAAGACCTATATTGTGATAAAACGGATGTTACATCGCGAAGTGCATTAAATCACATGAGCAACTTGATCAAAAACATGAAAAGATTTGGAAAATCCTGCAATCGACCGAAATCTGCACCACAGTTTACAAACCGGATTTCGATTTCGTGGCGTGATTTTGATTGGACCATGCATAGACTCGTTAGTCCAGCCAAAATGTAACTCCACAATACCAGCCTAGTACGGCAAGGGTGGAAACTGAACTCATATAGTCAGTTAACTCTCTTGCCTCGGGAACATAGAGCCTTTAAGCATTGTGAAACATTCCAATGCCACTTTCAATAATGCGACTATTACTAACAATGGATTGCAACGACATGTCATGTGTGAAAAGAACTTGGTATCAAACAAACTGTGACATTAACATTATGAGGCCGTGAGAAACACCTGGTTGTATTCGCCAACTTGAGTACAACAGTGTCTCTCTGTATTTCTACACACTATGATATGCCACAAGCCGACCTCTGGAATACACTATTAATACTCGTTACGCTCTGCATTCAACACGGGTGGTGTGATGTAAATGTGATGATTGTTCAATGCACATTGAACATTTCGATTCGATCATTACGTATTGTGTAGGTTGGTGTCTGGTACAGTTGTTAGGCTTTCATGAATGTTATTGTCACCAATAGCCGTAGAATTCAAACATGGTAAATGTGGGCAAATCGCACACAAGCTATACTGATCGTTGTGTACGCTTTGAAATTGTCAGCTATTGCTAAATGTTGAATCACATGTTTATCTGTATAAAGACTACACTGCATACATGACACACGACCATGAAAATGCGGGGTAGAATGGGTCTTCAGCAACCCGTGCTTGCCGTAAAAGGCGACTATATGCTTGTCGTAAGAGACGACTAACGGGATCGGGTGGTCAGACTGGCTGACTTGGTTGACGCATGTCATCGTATCCCAATTGCATAGATCGATGCTCATGATGTCAATAGATGATTTTTTCTGGTCCAGACTCGATTATTTAAAGACCACCGTCATACAGCTAGAATATTGCTGAGTGTGGCGTTAAACAGCGACAAAACAGAAGACATGACAAACGTATATTGCCAGCTGGGTCTACGAGGTCGTGAATGTGGGGCATAAGTCATATTACCTAGAACAGAAACTGTACTCCGGAAAAAAGGTCTACATACAAATGATCCTTATACCTTGTGAGAAACTGGTGGGGACAATGTCTGCAGTGAGAGTCTTGATAATTGTATCACCACCCTGATATATGGTGTTGTCCTTCTTTGGACAATTGAAAGAATTCACCTTAAGTTCTGTAAATCTATCCTCAGATTAAAACAGTCAACACCCGATTTTCTAGTATATGGTGAATTAGGTAGACATCCATTAACGATTCAGATAAAAATAAGAATGATATCTTTTTGGAGCAAACTAATTGTATCGCCTAATAAACTATCTAGCCGCATCTACCCGCTAATTCATAAAATCACAATGACTAGCAATACTGCATTTCCATGGCTCACCTCAATTAAAAATATTTTATATGAAACTGGTTTGAATTTTGTCTTTGATACTAACTCTTTTCCAAATCTCTCTTGGCTTAAAACTAACGTTAAACAAACCTTAATAGACAACTTCTATCAAAGCTAGAATGTCAAGGCGTGTTCTTCATCTAAAGGCAAATATTATACAATGCTAAAAGACAAACCACAGTTAGATGAGTATCTATTATCTCTCCCATTGAAACAAGCAATCTGGATTCTTAAACTGAGAACATCAAATCATAGACTACCAATTGAGAAAGGCAGATGGTTTAACACACAGAGTACTGAGAGAACTTGCACTTTATGTAACGACCAAATAGGAGATGAATTTCACTTTCTATTGGTATGTCCAAGACTAAATGACCTTCGAAAACAATACCTTCCGGCCTACTATACTCAATATCCCTCCACTCTAAAATACAATCAATTAATGAAATGTTCATACAAACCCATTCTAGTAAAACTGGCTCAGTTCTGTAAAAAAGGTTTAACATTATTTACATAATTAAATATCATAGGATCGTCGATCTATGGCTGGAAAATTGCCCTCGCGACGTTAAGTTTGTGAATTTCACTCTACAATATAATATATGTGTATATTTTATGTGTTCACGTGTGTAGTTATGCAGATCATATATGTATTATAGAAATGCATAATGGGTGCATGTATGTATTC